CTGAGGGTTGCGATCCGTTGCCGGACACGGAAAAAAGACAAAAAAAAAAAAAAAAAGAAAAAGGATGCAGAAAGAAATATTGGAAGATACCAAAGATGGTTTTGCCCATTTCAACATTTAGCTGAGAGCGTGCCCTTTTTGTCTTCTCTCTTCTGCACTGTATGGTCTTTTCCCCATAAAACCCCAGACGTGGGTTACTAATATTAGGGCCACAGTTATCTATATTATGAGTGTAGGCTTGTCTCTGAAGGACCTGACATTAATACCATTTTTCTAGGAGAGAAAAATGTTTTCTGCCTTCCATGTGATTTATAAGTACATATTTGAAGTATAAGTGGTCTGAGTTGCCTGTAACTCATAACACTGTTCATAAACCTTGCCTTTAGAGCTAACCTCTTCCAAAAGTAGCAATTGAGCATGCTGTCGAAGTTATATTCCTTTAGGACTTCTCTGTGTGGCTGCTTAATTTCCTGAAATCTTGCAGAGATATTATTTTACATTTGATCTGTAGAAATTTAGTTGTTTGTGTGAATGGAAGAACGTTTGCAACCTTCAGACAATGAACTGTTATGCATTGAGTTCTGGTTCCAGCATCTTCACTAATGAGCTGGGTGTACTTAAGCAATTAATTTAACCTCTTTGGGACTGAGTTTCCTTTTCTTAGAAATTGAAATAATAGCTGCTCATTCATCTTACAGTTTTGGAATATTAAATGAGATCATAGTTATCAAAACATTTGAAAAGTATGAAGCACAATGTAAATATTCACTTATAATAGTAATATTAGATGGAAAAGATCTTTGTAACCTTTATGTTGGAGTTTTTTCATTTTTTTCTGAGTGATGCACATACTAAATGCATGAAGATTTTTCTTATACTTTTTCTCTTAATGGGAAGCAAGAGATTTATATCTTTTTGAGCATTCCAATAAGAATTTAAGATTAAAATTATGTTTTTTAGATAAATTAACCTTGAAGATTCCTTGGAAAAACCTTTATGGAGAAGCAGTTGTTGCAACCCTAGAGGGATTATACCTGCTTGTTGTCCCAGGAGCAAGTATGTTATTTTAGGTTATAGCCATTCAGTAACATCATAATGAAGTTAAATTGTTACCTAGGTTTAGTATTTTAATATGTTTAGTAAGATAGAAGATAATTTAAACTAATCATATACATATATGCACATATGTAATATATTTTTTATGTGAATACACATATACAGTATATTGTTACATTTGTACATAAACTATTTTTGTGTTATTGAAAAGAATAAATTCAGCCATTTAAAAATTTATTCTATTCTCCATGAGTAATTATTTTGTAACTAATGCTTCCTGGAAAGTCAAGATGGGGCAAATTTACTGTTGTGGAATGAAATGAAATAAGTTTTTAAAAATGTACTGATGTGTTAATCTACAGATTTCTGGATTAGAACATTTATTTTATTTTCCCCATTTTGTTGCTTCTGCTTTTGAGTCAACGTTTCCTCAAAAATGTATGTGAAATAGGTAATTTTTTCTTCAGAAATTATTGTATTTTAATTTTTAATGAATGTTTTAAAATAGTGATGTTTAATAATATTTAGTTACTATTGTTTTTTTCAGTTATAAGAACAATATTATGTTAGGAAAAGTTTGGATGTTTCATGGAAAACTTGTAATTTCTCAAACATGATACAAATATAATTTTAGTTTTGCTTTTTGCTTTTCAGTCTTTACCGTATACACACTTGATTTTAAGTATCAGTTATTACTTTATATATATAATGTTGACCTGGCCTTTTCATTTAATATATACCTGTTTTATATTTTTCACAGTTTTAATGGTGATAGTGACAATTTTAAAAGACTGTATGATATTCCCTTGTGGGCTGCCTACTATTTTTTGCTTTTAAAGTGAAGACTACAAATATGTCCTTCTTATAGATCTTTTTTATTCTTTTGTTTATTTCCTTAGGGTACATTATCATATCAAAAATGAGATTACTAGATAAAAAGTGTATATATATTTTATGATTGTTGAAGTGTAATCCTGAATTACTTTTTGAAAGTCTTCTTATCAATCTACATCGACAGCAGATGGTATCGGATAGTAAACTTTTTTGAAATTACTCAAAATTTTACCACTCAGAGATAATAACTGGCACTGTTCTGGTGTATTTTCTGCCTTCGCTCTCTTAACTTTTTATGCAAACTTCTTCTCTCTGTTCCTTTTTCCTTTCTTCCTGTAATTTCTTACCCTCTCTTCTTTTCTTTTTTTTGGATATGTTTTATAAATAAATAGGAATTATTAATGTTTAAACTTTTTGTAAAACTAATCTAATGAATACAAAAGTGTTTTTGGACTTTAAAAAAAAGACGTTACATACACACACAATGTAGTGAAGCTGAACTTTCCCATTTGTGTATTTACTAATTCTGTTTCCTTTTGTGTGAATTAACTACATATTTTTAGGTATTAAATATGATGCTGAAAAAGAAGAAAAATCCTTGCAGGATATTAAACAGAGAGAGCTATCCCGAATTGAAGAAGCCCTTCAAAAAGCTGCAGAGAAAGGTACAATAAATTTATGTTTTAGATAAACTTAGATGTACCTGTGTTTTTAGATAAACTTAGATGTACATGTGTTTTAGATATATCTAATGCCCTTTAAAGAGAATGCTTTGATAAGCCTTCGTAAGCTGTAGTCCCAGAGAAGGATCTTCTTTTAAAGTCATATCTCAAAATATTGATTATAAATGTTTTAATGACTCACATTTAGGAATACAGTTGGCTCTCCATGTCTGCATCCCTGTGTTCAATCAACTGTGGATCGAAAATATATGTGGAAAAGACAAATAAAGAGTAATAATACAAAAGCAATACAGTATCACAACTATTTATATAGCATTTACATTGTATTAGGTATTATAAGTAATCTAGAGATAATTTAAATAAAGTATATGAGAGGATGTGTGTAGGTTATATGCAAATACTGCTGCATTTTATATAGGGGGCTTGAGCATCATCGGATTTTGGTATCCCAGGGATCCAGGAACCAATCCTCTGAGGGTACTGAGGGATGAGTGTAATTTCCTTTTTTCTGTGATTTATCTCACTGCTAGTTTGTTTTTCCCAATTTTCTTAACCAGTTGACTATGCTGCTGTAGAAGACTTTCCAAATTCTGTGAGTTCTTGCAGGCTTGTTTGTTTTGAAATAACATTAACAATTTCTTTGTGTGCATTTTTACGTGTGTGCTTGCAAGATAATGAGATTAAGCATATTACTGCAATGAAATGATGTTGAGAGGAAATGCTGCTGTAATTCTAGGGCTAGTTATCTCTATATGGTATAGGAGATTTTAAAAACTTGATTCTTCAGGTTTTAACATTTTAAAATCTTGCCTTAATTTTTAATTTTTATTTTTATCTAAAAATAAATCTGATGACTATTTTTTTTTTTCCTTTTTGTCTTTTTTACTGACTGGTAAACGGGATTGCAACCCTCGGTGTCACGCCCGTACCGGGGATCGGCAACGGGACCGCAACCCTCGGTGTCACGCCCGCACCTCGCTCAGCCAGTGAGCGGGAACCGGTCTCCACATGGGATCTGAACCCTCTGCGGGAGTGCCGCCGTGCTCCCAAGCGGCGCACTCTCCAGTGCGCCACCGGGCCGGCCCAATCTGATGACTATTTTGATTTAGTTTGTAGAGTAAGAACAAAGATAAGATGAAAAAGAGTAGTCTGTTGATGAACTGAAGGACTATGCCAAACATCCAATTTGTTTATCTATTTTTAAGTCAAATCATACCTCAGTTGTTGATTGGAGTAGAAGAGTTCTTAGCATTTTATATCATTTTTGTGTTTACTATCATGGGTATATATTTCTACGATGAAGGAAGAAGAAGTTGTCGTTTAAAAGATAAGGCAGATATGAGGTAGAAATGATGTAAATTAAATTTAGATATGACAAGATTTCCTAGTTCAGGATGCTGACATTTAATTGAATCAGTAAGAGATCTCTCTTAAAAATAGCTTGCTTATTGAAGTTCTTTATCAGTGATTCTCATTCCTTTTGCCCCAAGTATTTTTTTTTAAATACAGAAAAAAATTACTAAACTACTTAAACTACAGAGGCTACCATAGAAGCCAAAACATTTTTCCTTTCTCTTTTCACACTTAAGTTTATTTTGTCTTTCTCCTGAAGCTTAGCATCTGTATTTTTAGGACAACAATTTTCTTTATTTGTATTATTTTTGTGTGCCAAATAAAGCAAGCTGCGAGTGGTTTTGCTTCTTGACAATTCAGTGTGTTTTTTTCATTATATTCAATTTTGTTTAATTAGTATATGTAAAAATAGTACTATAAAAATGAAGAGAAAGACTTAGCATTAGAATTTCATTTCTTTCTTGAAATTGTTCAGATTTAATATATTTTCTTAGTACACATATAAAATACATATATTCATTAATAGTTATATGAGATGTACTTAGATATATTGATATAATTATACATTTATAATCTGTAATATATATAATTAAGTTATATTTTTTCTATTGAGATGCAAACCCCAAACTTTTATTTTTTTGTGTGTGTGAACATAGCTTGTGATTGCTTAAAAAATATTTTAGTGTTTCCAGTGATCTGTAGGAAAAGGCATGGTATAGTCTCATTTATTTTATTATTATAAAAATTATTTGTTTATTTTTTTTGTGGCTATCCAATATGGGGATCTGAACCCTCAACCTTGGTGTTACAACACTATGCTCTAATCAGCTGAGCTAATGGGCCAGCCCTAGTCTCATCTGTTTTAGCAGTTGACAGTATAAATGGCAAATGATAACCTGCTGTACGTTTTATACCGAGCATTTGTGAAATTTTGACTGCTGCATCTTCTTTTTTTTTTTCCTTTTTGAGACTGGCTGCACCGTGCTTAGCCAGTGAGCGCTGTGAGCGCACCGGCCATCCCTATATAGGATCCGAACCGGCGACGGGAGCGCTGTTGCACTCCCAGCGCTGCACTCTCCCAAGTGCGCCACGGGCTCGGCCCAACTGCTGCATCTTCAATGCTTAGGAAACTGAAATGTTTGGGTCTGGTAAATGGGCTATTTACCAGATGATTTATCTATAGAGGGTGAACATCTGTAGTAGTAATTTTGTGTGAATGGGACTATTAGGCCTATATAATATATTAAAGTTACATTGTAGCTTCTTGGATGATAAAATTTTGGTTTTGTTGGAATAGAGTTAAAATTCAGAAAGTTAAACTCACTTTTAATATTGTATGTTAGATTTGTCAAAAAAGTGTTCTGAGTATAAAAGAGATGTATTCACAAATTGGGAAATATTTGAGAGAGATTATTTTTCCTTAACTATTAAGAAGTAGATTAAATGATTTTGACTGCATATAAATATTCTTTTCTAGTTTCTATGGACATGAGTCATATCTTCATATATTATTATTCATGTGAATGATAACAGACAACCCTTGCCTTTAGATGCTTCACATTTTACCATTATTAATTAATATTTATTACTTAGTTATCATACATTATTTTAATGCTTATTATTTTTCCACTTATTTCTTGATTTTAAAAACACAAAAGCACCATTGCATGTGTATAGGGACTGAGAGAGGTAAGAAGAGGAGTTGATTCAACTCTAAGCAGCAGATAAAAATGAAAACAAAATTC